CCCCCCGCCAAAAAAAAAAAAAAAAAAAAAACTACTCAAACCTCCAACGCTTTCCCCTTTACCCACAAACCTCTCCCTCTTACTAGTCAATCAATCAACCAATCTGGACTTCCCCCCTCCCCGATCTCGTCCCCCTCATCCCGCATCCCGACTTCCTCCTCCCCATCCCGACCCTCCGACCCTCTCTCCCCATTCCGACTTCTTCCCCTCCCCCTTACCCACAAACCCCCCTCGTACCGACTTCTTCCCCTCCCCCTTACCCACAAAACCGCCTCGTACCAACCAATCAATCAATCAATCCGGACTTTCTCGTCGCGCCCATTCCGCATCCCGACTTCCTCCTCCCCATCCCGACCCTCCGATCCTCTCTCCCCATCCCGACCTCCTCCCCTCGCTATCCCGACCCCCTTTGTCCTTGTCGCCGCCATCCCGACAACTTCTCGATCCCGACTTCCCCTGCCGCTATCCCGACGTCGTCGGTCTTCGGGTTGCGCCCATCCCGCATCCCCACTTCCCCCTCCCCATCCCGACCCTCCGATCCTCTCTCCCCATCCCGACCTCCTCCCCTCGCTATCCCGACCTCCTGACCTGTCCCTCCCCATCCCGACTCCGTTGCCCCCTTTGCCATTGTCGCCCCCATCCCGACAACTTCTCGATCCCGACTTCCCCTTCCGGTATCGCGACGTCGTCTGTCTCCGGGTTGCGCCCATTCCGCATCCCGACTTCCCCCTCCCCATTCCGACTCTCCGACCCCTCCTCCCCATCCTGAAACCAGACTCCCCCCCGCATCCCGACTTCCCCCTCCCCATCCCCCGCATCCCGACCCTCCGACCCTCTCTTGCGTCCATCCCGCATCCCGACTTCCCCCTCCCCATCCCGACTTCCTCCTCTCTGGCAAGGCTAAGGTTGAGGGTTCAAATCCCTTTTTCCGCTCGTCAGCTTCCTTCGCTGCCTGGGTCATTCTTTTTTCATTCTTAGCATTTTTGTTGCATTAGCCTACAAAAAAAATAATCTATCTTTTTTTTGTTCACTTTAAACTTGTAGCCAATAAGGTTATATGGTATTCGCTTGTGGTATCTCCAATTATTCTGTGAGTGTATTTCATCTGATGAACCATGCTCTTTTTAAAGCATTACTTTTTTTGAGTGCAGGTTCTGTGATTCATGCAATGTCTGATGAACAAGATATGCGCAAAATGGGAGGATTAGCTTCTTTGTTACCTTTTACTTATGCTATAATGTTAATAGGCAGCATGTCTTTCCATCCCGACTTCGACTTCCCCTTCCCCTATCCCAGCATCGTCCGTCTTCCGACCTGAATCCAGACTCCCCCCCCCTTCCCGACTTCCCCATCCCGACAACTTCGTCGGTCTTCGGGTTGCGCCCATCCCGCATCCCGACTTCCCCCTCCCCATTCCGACTCTCCGACCTCTCCTCCCCATCCCGAATCCAGACTCCCCCCCGCATCCCGACTTCCCCCTCCCCATCCCGACCCTCCGACCC